CATGGTCCAACGGGAACTTGCATCATGTTTAAATTTACGCACAATATATGCTTGTATTGCTTATTTGCAGGTAAAACGGCGAGCAACGGCTATCTCAGCAGGAGCAATCTCGCTCCAGTTCCCGCAACCCTATTAGACCTTAACCATTCATCCTGACATGATTGCGCACGTTCTTGAAAAGGTCTCCATCGGCATACTGCGCCGACGGATCCTAAACTAAATATGGCCTGATTCCTATAAGACCAGGGATATGTAGGCAGCTCAGGAGCCAGAGCACGGCCAATCTCTTCAAACCATTTCGTTCGGTCAAAAATTGACCATCATATCTTTACCCGACAACTCTTTCATCATTCCCGGGTAAAGAGGGACAGCTGTTGATACCCAATTTTTTCCTGTATTTTTTATATGCAACACACCTTTAAAAATAGCATGTATATGTATATATAAGTATATCCCAATGTTACATTATTTTTCTTAATTTTTAAAAGATTTTCAAATCAATTTACCGTCTTATTTTATCAAGAAAAACCCAATAATTATCCCCAAATTATCATTTTGGTGATTTATTATTGGATTCTAATTTTTATATTAAAATATAGCTAAGACATTTTTCAAATTTGTTTTACAAATTTATTTGGTTTTTTTAAGGATAAAATTGCATAATTGCAATATAAGCCATTTTTATGTTTAAATCCGTCTCATGCTTCTAAAGTGGGATTCTGTATTTTTAAATTGACAATTATTTATAAGTCATTTTAGTGCTTTTAATTTGTTTTCAGAATTTTTTTTATTTTTTTTATAAATTAAATGGGGAAAAGGGGATATTTAACTTATAGCCACATTTGGCCTAATTAAACCCAATACCGAACCCAAATTAAACCAAACCAAGACCCAAGCCCAATCCTAAATCTACCCGACCCAACCCAGACTAAATCCTGGTCATTGATCATTTTTGATCGACGGTCCAGATCCGCCCTTACCAAATTAAACCAAACAACCCCCGAGACCCCTCTCATTCCTCACTCAACCGACTCTCTCTCTCTCTATGTATCTCTGGTTCTCTATTGAACCTTCCCCCTTCCCCTCCTCTCTGATGAGTTCCATCCATCTTCTTCGGCCACCTCCTGGCCTGAATCCATGGTGGTTTCACTACCCACCAGCCTTCTATGGCTCCTCACGCTTGGTTACTGAAGTTTCATGACTTGACCACGAAGAGCTGGGTCCAGACCCTTGTTGATTCAATTTTCACGGCTATCTCTGGCCTTGCTCTGGCAAGCCATGTCTGTTTCAAGCCTGACCTCGACTCCTTCTACTTAGATCCAAGCATTTCTCACCATTTGGGTTTCTTTGAAACCCTAAATTTTGAGGTTTTTCTGCTCTCTATAGATCTATTCCAGATCCATATTTTCCCTAAGCTTTAAACAATTTTCTAATATTTCTTTCAAAAATTATGCTTTCAAAGCCTTTATTTTCCGATCTAGGGTTTTTAGATGTTTCTCTGATTTTTCTTTTTCTTTTGTGTGCTTCTTCGACTATGTTTCTTCTACTGTGATCTTTGTGTTTCTTCTATAGTGTTATCTTTAAGTTTTTGCTACCATGTTCTTATTAGTTTCCTCTACTGTATTTTTAAGTTTCTGCTACTGTGTTCTTAATCAGTTTCTTCTACTATGTTTCTCATTAGCTTCTTCTACTATGTTTCTTTTACTGTGTCTTGCATGTTGTTCTTTTACTATGCTTCTCATGAGTTTCTACTACTGAAAGAGCATCCTAAGGGTCTCAGTTCCCTTTCTGAGACTTCTGAACCTGTTTCGATTAGTATCTTTTCCTTGATTGCTTATCCTCTCACCTCTGCACTCGATTGATGGAAAAAACTCTAGAATTTGAGGCTTCATCTGAGTTTTGAGGCCATTGGCTATGTGATTTGCTTGTGCTTCATCTCTGAACATGCCTGATTTCAAAAACCCTAATCTTTTGGACCTATTTGAGTTCCTGGAGTTGTTTCATCTACTACTTCATTAAGTTTCAAAATCATTGTTTCAATTTTGTTTCTTCATATGATTCTGACTTTTTCTAAACTCTATAAGACCTTTTGCTTGACCCTTTTTTGCATGCCTGATACTTGTGTGCTCTTTATATGTGCTAAACTTCCCTCTAGAAGGGCTTCAATTTTTGATTAATTTCAGACTTCCTTTGTACAAGTTTTATTGATTTCTTTCCTTGTTTGCTGACTACCCTGTTACTTGACTTAAGTTAAAAAAATGTTTCTCAGCTTTTCTGACTTGTTTCATTCATAGACTAGTGATTACAAAATCTTTGATCCTTGATTTACTGGCTACTAATTGATTTCTCTTACCTTATTTATGCAATTGTGTATTTCAAAGCTCTGCCCCTAAAATAAACTTCTATGTATTTACCCCTAATTGCCTACTTTGCACAAGATGTTTATTTGATTTCTTTCCTTAAATAGTTTTACCTTTTGAGTCCAAATTCCTTAATTAAAGGAAGACTTGTGTTGATTGATTCTTAATTGACATCCAGTTCCTTAATTGTTTTCTTACCTTATTTCTGCATGTTTTTCACACACAAATACATGACACTTTCATTAGCACACCCATCACTCATAGTCTTTCTGAACTTACACTTACACACAATAGCATTCTCTCTTATTGTCTGCATTGTGGCCTGTTTACAAGACCTACTGCTTTCTCTATTTGTTTCTTTGAAACTGGTATGTCCTGATTTAAGCTTTAGCACCACAACAAAGTGTTTATTTACTGCTTTTGTATCTATGTCAACTCACTATTTCTGTATAGTTCAACACTTACTTTAGCATGCTAATTTCTTTCTGCCTGTTCTATTCTGAATCCCAAACCCCTACCCCTTATGTGTTTGAGCTATGGTTTAAGGCATGGCAATATGCAAATTATTGTCCATGAATTAAATTTGATCCTTTGGGATCCTAGCCTCTAAATAGTGTGTTCTAACATGGTTATGGGTATGCTGGCATTCTCCATTGCTGGGCATACCCACAGCCCGCCCTTGCCTCTTTCAATTTCCCTATCCCCCCTAAACCCCTTATGTGTACTTATCTGTAGCTATTTCCCTCTTTTCCCCCTTTTAGAACATTGTTTCTGCACTTGCACACTCTCTTAGTGAGCCTTGCCTTGGGACCCTTTGAGCTCCCTCTGAACTTGGACACTTGAGGGCTGGCCCTTTCACACTGCACTTGTCCTAATCTGATAATACATTTGGGTATGAGCATTGCCCGTAGTCCTTTTTGAGGCTCTTAGGGAACTTTGACACACTCGAAAGGGAGAAAGGCTTTGGATCTTGATCTTATGGAGTTTGTTTACCTCATACTTCAGACATGAAGTCTGAATCGGGCTTCCCTTTGGTTGTACTTTTATTTACATTTTCTGATGTATTTTACTTTTTCTGGGCTATAATAATTTGCAATAAATCTTGGGAATGGCTAGTGAAAAGGGCGGGTAACTATGTATGCAAAGGGTAGATACTATGCTTATAGGTCATTCTAAATTCTGCAACTTTCATATAGAAATCATGCCTATAAGTCATTCTGAATTCTGCATATGCATATAGAAAATATGCCTATAGGTCATTCTGAATATTGTATATCCATTTTCATCTAGAAATCATGTTCATAGGTTTTAAACAATCAACTGCATATAGATATCATGTTCATGTCTTAAAATAAATTCTGCCAGTTAGATACCATGTTTAGAGGTTAAAACCCGTCTTCAGCACCTAGATATCATGCTTATAAGGTCTCTACACTTTTACTATGTCTATAATGCTTCTGACCAACTACGCGTAGAAAGCATGTCTATAGGAATTATTAATCGAATCTGAATCGCTTCATTCACGTCTAGAGCTAAACCAGTAATAACAAGGATCATCATTTGCAGAACTCATGACCTTCATAAAAAACTTGATTTCTTTAATAATCTGACAACCTTTTTAACCAGTACGTATTCAGTTTATTATTATTGCTTTCTAAATTCAGTAGATACCATGCCTATAGGATCCTTGTCCAACCCTTAGGCAAGCCTTAGGGCGAAGTTATAAACTGAATCTGTGTTATTAACTACAACAAGCAGGCAGGCCTGATTCGGGCTTCTTATATGAATTATGTAATAAATTAGTCTGCCTCAACTTTTAAGTTCTTAACCAGACCATAAACACTATGTGAAAGTCATGCTAATTATGTGTTTTCTTTATTCAAGGAGGTATATCTGAGCCTTTTACTTGTTATGTACTTTCCCCCAACTTGCTATACATGTTTTTGTATGTCGCCTTAGAATTTTGCTTTTGAAACTACAAATAAGCCTAATATCCCTCCCCCTTAGGATTAGTAGTCCTAAATGCCTCCGGGACTGATAAGGATTGGGATGGGTAATAGCATGCAATAAGTAAAGGAGACCATTCCGCACTTTAATACCTTAACGGGGTGGGAAATGGTAGATATGGATATGATGACCACGCGATAACGTCTCGTATATCCCCTCACTGCGGAGTGATTACCGGATGTTGTGTGGCGTGATCCATATTATTAATAAACCTAGGACTCCCCTTTTTTCCTTTGTTTCTTTGTTTCTTCTAAAGATTTCAAACTATTTCAGCTTCCTTTTAATTCTTTCCAATTTTGTTTGTAACCATTATGTAAAAATCCCCTCTTATTTGAAGTTTTATTTGCCTACATGTTATTTGCACTTAAATGCACAATAATAGTCTGGTCGGAACCACACTAGTGGATCCTGAGGGGTGCCTAACACCTTCCCCTTGGGATAATTTCAAGCCCTTACCCAATCTCTGGTTACTCAAATCAAACCTTCTTGGTGTCTTAATGCACCTTAATCATTAGGTGGCGACTCTTAAATTCAAACCCAAATTCCCCAAAAGGGAATGAGTTGTCCTCCCAAATGTTATAAACCCGATTTAGCGAGAAAAAGGGGGTGCGGCATTGGGATAGGCCATACTGGATGCTAACTCCTTCAAGCAAATTCAGTGTTAGTAGTGCTTGGCAAATTGTAAGGCATAGAGCTGATCCTAATCAGGAATTCAAGTTAATGTGGATTAAAGGCTTACCATTTAAGATATCCTTCTTTTTGAGGAGATTGTGGAGGAAGAAAATAGCCACTGATGACATATGGAGGAGGCAAGGGAAAATGGTGATGCCTAGGCATTGGTGTTGTCAGCAGCCCCAAGAGGAATCTATTGAGCACATATTTATCACAAGTCCTACTGCTTCTAAATTATGGAACTTGTTCATGGGGGCTGTTGGAATTACTGTGCCATTGATTCTATTGAAGCAGGTTATAAGGCATTAGTGGTATGCTCAATGTTGTACAAAGCTAAAGCCATTGTTTCAAGCAGTATCGGCTATCATCACTTGGGAACTTTGGAAGATAATAAAGGCAGGTAAGCATGGGGGTTCAGTGTCAACAAATATGGTGATTCATGATATCAATAGAACATTGCATCAACTAGCAAGAGTGAGGTATGCTTGGATGCCTAATATTCCCTTGTTATGGCCAGACATAACTCAATATTTTGAAGGATATAAACCTATATTGATCACTACAAGAGTAACACGGCAGCTTCCTTTTCATGGTTGGTACAAATGCAATACTGATGGAGCCTTAAAAGGAAATCCTGGTCCTAGCTTATTAGGCGTTTTTGTGAGGAATGATGAAGGTGATGTGGTGTATGCAAGGGCAGTAGACCTAGGAGTGACAACTAATGTGGTGGCTGAAGCTAAGGCTATTCTTCAAGGATTGGAATACTGTGTGGAGCATGATCTTCACCCTCTTATATTGGAGACTAACTCATTAGTGATGAAGAAAGTAATAGAAGGGGAATGTGATCCTCTTTGGGTAATTGCAAATGATGTGAAGAAAATTAGAGAGATGAAGGGCAACTTCAATGTGATCTTTCAACATGTGTTCAGAGAAGGCAACTCAGTGGCGGATTTTATAGCTAACATTGTTTTCTTTTTTGCAGGTACATCTGAGTTTCATTCATTTACTGAACTGCCTAGTGCAGGGAGTAGGTTGATTAATCTAGACAAGTTGGGTTAGAATAGCAAAAAGAAGAGCCTCAGACTGATGGCTTCACAGGATTGGAATCTGCACAAACCTGCTTGTGTCTTTTATGTCTCATTCTGGATGCTATTGAGGTACATTCTAGTAGTATTAGCATGGTCACATGCTCATTCTAAGGGTGCTTTGATAGTGTACATGAACAATGTGATAAGCATGTATTGGATGGTGCAATTTATTCTACTTCTGATATGTTCAAATGTTAAGGAAATGGTTGAATCTGTTATGTGGAATTCCTGGAGATTGTTGAATCATTTCTCAGTGGTATTAACACGTCATCATGATCAATCTGAGGATTGTTTAGTAATATTTAGAATGGTTTCTACATTAAAGGTTCGGGAAGACAAGGATCTGCACTTACAAGAACATAAAATCACCTTGCTCTGGTGTCGCTAGCTTAAAGCCAGCCCTGGCCTGGTTTTCGTCTTGCAACGCCTGATTAAAGTCAGCCCAACCTGGCTTTTGCCTTGCAAAGCCTGCTTAAAGCCAGCCCCAGCCTGGCTTTTGCCTTGCAAAGACTGCTTAAAGTCAGCCCCAGCCTGGCTTTTGCCTTGAAAAGCCTGCTTAAAGCCAGCCCCAACCTGACTTTTGCCTTGAAAAGCCTGTCTAAAGCCAGCCCCAGCCTGGCTTTTGCCTTGAAAAGCCTACTTAAGCTAGCCCCAGCCTGGCTTTTGCCTTGAAAAGCCTGCTTAAAGCCAGCTCCAGCCTGGCTTTTGCCTTGAAAAGCCTGCTTAAAGCCAGCCTCAAGATAAGTGTGGCCATGCTTTTTTACATAATAATATTGAGGATTGACCACATAATTTATACTTAGATAGACTCAGTACACTGCATATGGAGATCATATTGTAGCAACACTAATGATTGGAAGATCATATTGGCTTCAATTCTGTGGTGGAGATGTTTGGAATTCATTCTAGCCTATGGACTGGATACACCGGCGCCTGGTGGGAGCTTGATAGGTGCTTCTTGGTATTTTTTACTGGCAATTAGATTCACATACACTGACAGGAGAAGGAACCATTCAATGGAAAATGTTGTAATAACTAGTTCATTAGACTTTACCTTTCCTATCTTTTTAGTAGCTAGTAGCTTCATGCAACTTCTATTTTGGTTTGGACATCTTGTAAGCTTTGGACCCATTTTGGGATTTTATTTATATATTAGCCACTAGGCAGCCTGCCTAGTGGTATATTTGCTAAAAAAAAGTATAAAGTATGTGCATATGCACTTCTATTTTTATGTTTTTTGGTCTATTATTGAACTAACACTGGATGAAATACTTGCATAAAATTTTATAATAGGAAGAAATAGTATAAAAAGAAGGGGGGGGGTGATGAATTTATACTTTGAATGAATTTAAAAAATAAAATAAAGATAACAAATAAATCATACTCAAGATATTATTGATAAGTTTTACAACTTAATTAATCCGAGCAACAAAATAGAAGAATAAAAGTAGATGAAATTTTATTACAAGAAAAAAATCATGGTCTTCTGTAGTATATAATAATGGGAGTAGCGGACAAGGATGTGAACAATTTTAATTTATGGATGACTTAATAACATGGACAAAGAATAAAAAAGTGAGAAAAATATATAAGTAAATAACTTCACTGTAGAGTTATTTAAAAGGATAAGACTATTGCTAGAAATAGGTCAGCGGATACAGTATTGACTCTTTCCCACTTCTCCCCGCCCCCCTCAGATTTGTAAGATAGTTTGTTATTGGCAAGTTGGAAGTTGGATTCTTCCCACATCGGAAGAAAGAAGTTCCGTGCCTGTCATGTGAAACACTTCCGGGACCGACCTTACTCGTACCGTACCTGTTAGCCTCGGAACTGATCATTATAAAATAGCACATAACAAGCACGAGATTGTCTCAACAGGCACGAGACTGACTCAACAGGCACGAGATTGTCTCAACAGGCACGAGACTGACTCAACAGGCACGAGACTGTCTCAACAGGCACGAGATTGTCTCAACAGGCACGAGACTGACTCAACAGGCACGAGATTGTCTCAACAGGCACGAGACTGACTCAACAGGTACGAGATTAACTCAACAGGCACAAGATCCTAGAGTTAATTATTTATTTGAATTTTAAATACAAAATTCGAATAAATAGTCGTGTCTATTTGTGAAACAAGACATCCTATCAGAAAGGGTCTGTTTGTTGCCTATAAATACACAAGAATTCCAACGAAGAGGATATAGAAAATCACAAGTGTTACTGCGGGCTTTGTTGTATCCTGAAGAGAATCGTTTTGTATTTTCCCTAAATTAGTATACAGGCGATAACTCTTTAAGGACAGTCGATTTTCACGCCTCAAAGCCAGTTTTGATTATTATTTTTCTAACAATCTTAAAGAGTTATTCTGTTATGGAGAAATTGATGTCTGTTGTTGAGAATCCGAAGGAGTTCATCAAACTTGATCGCTTTGATGGAACGAACTTTACCCGTTGGAGAGACAAGATGATATTCTTGTTGTCCGCTCTCAATATCTACTATGTTCTTGATTCTGCCTTGCCTCTGATGTCTGAGCCCACAGTAGAAGATTCTAATGTAGTCAAGGAAGAAAGGAAGAAACAAGAACATGATGAACTGTTATGTCGCGGCCATATTCTGAATACTTTGACAGATCGACTCTATGATCTTTACTGCAATCTGAAGTCGCCAAGAGAGATTTGGACTGCTCTACAAACTGCATACCAGAATGAAAAACGAGGTATTGACAAATTCCTGGCTCTGCAGTACTTTGAATTTAAAATATTTGATACTAGGCCTATAATGGATCAGATTCATGAACTGCAAATCTTAGTATCAAAACTAAGTGATCTTGAAGTTAAAATTCCTGATGCACTTCAAATAGGTGCTATTCTTTCGAAATTGCCTTCCTCTTGGAATGACTATAGAAAGAAAATCCTACATTCTATGGATAAAATGACTGTGGAACAATTTCGTACTCACATTCAAATTGAAAGTGAGACTCGTGCTCGTGATGTTATTAGTCAGCCTTCGAGTTCCGCAGTCAATTTTGTCAGTCAGAATGGTTCAGGAAGTGGGAACAAACATCTGAAAGTTTCCAAAAAGTCTTCTTTTAAAAAGAGAAAGAACTTTAGTTGTCATCATTGTGGAAAGAAAGGCCATATGATTCGGGACTGCAGATATAGAAAGGCAGGAATAAATTTCAATGCAGGCAATACCGAAAAGTCTGGAAAGATTAAAAAATCTGGAAATTCTGAAAAGGCAAACGTAGTGGAAAATTCTGCCCAAGGACTGGTTGCCATGGTTTCCGCAATGCAAATTGGTATGGTCACAGAGTTGAATGTGGCTACCGCTGCTACAAATACTCAAGACTGGTGGCTAGATTCGGGTGCTACTATTTATGTCTGTTATGACAAAATGATGTTCAAGACATATGCAGAAGTGTAGGATTCTGAACAAGTCTTGATGGGAAACCATGTTGCGGAAGATGTTGCTGGAAAAGGAAGTATTGAGATTAACTTCACATCTGGCCAGAAGTAGACGTTACTGAATGTGTATCATGTTCCTGATATCAAGAAAAACTTAATGTCCGCTGCTTTGCTGTCAGAGAAAGGCTTCAAGATAGTTATTAAGTCTGATCATGTAATAGTGTCTAAGAATGGTGTTTTTGTTGGAAAAGGCTATAACTGTAACGGCATGTTCAAATTGAGTATTAATGAAATAAATTATGTTTCTGCTTACATCGTTGAGTCTGATTCTTGTTTATGGCATGCTAGACTAGGACATTTAAATTTTGGCTCCTTGAATTATATGTCCAAAAATGGTTATATCTCATGTAAAACTCAACATATAAAATGTGAAATTTGCATACAAGCAAAGATGACAAAGAAACCATTTCATAAAGTTGAAAGATCCACATAACTATTAGATTTAATACATTCATACTTGTGTGAATTAAATGGAGAATTAACTAGAGGAGGCAAAAGATATTTTATTACTTTTATAGACGACTTCTCTAGATTTACATATGTTTACCTACTTAGAACTAAGGACGAAGCTTTTCAAAAGTTTAAAGAATACAAGTCTGTTGTGGAAAATCAAAGGAGTAGGAAAATTAAAATTATTCGAAGTGATAGAGGCGGAGAATATTTTCCTAACGAATTTAATAAGTTCTGTGAAGAGCATGGCCTAATACATCAAATGAGTGCCCCTTATACTCCTCAACAAAATGGGTTAGCGGAAAGAAAAAATAGAACTTTGGTGGATATGGTTAATGCTATGTTACTTAATGCACATTTGCCACATAATTTATGGGGTGAAGCACTACTAACTGCATGTTATATTTTAAATAGAGTGCCTTCAAAAAGTATGCATATTTCGCCTTATGAGCTTTGGAATGGTAGAAAACCAAATTTAAATTATTTTAAAGTGTGGGGGTGTATATCCTATTATAGAGTACCTGACCATCAAAGAACAAAATTGGGTCCTAGAGGAATTAAAAGTGTTTTTGTAGGATATGCACAACACTCCAAAGCTTATAGACTGCTAGATCTAGAATCTAATGTCATTATAGAATCTATACATGTTGAATTTATTGAAAATAGATTTATAAATGACAATGTTGATGAAATGACTAAAATAAATGGAAAACATATTGATGCTAATAAACTGTCGCTTTCTGAAATTATTAAAACTAAGGAAAGAAGTGATGATATGCAGATAGAACCAAGGA